AGAAACTGAGAACAAAAAGCCAGCCGTAAAATTTAATAAAATCAAATATATTTTTCCCGATGCAAAGTTTAAAGCAACAATTACTGTTATTATTGTTGGCTTTGTTTAAAGGGGATGAAACATTCTCTGATGAACAAGCAAACTGTGAAGTGCTGAGGATACAAGCACACGGCTGTGTTTAATGAAACACTAAGACGATGGGGAGCCGGTCGGCCGAGCGGACAGCACGCTGGACTTGTGATCCTGTGGTCCTGGGTTCTATCCCAGGCGCCCGCGAGAAACAATGGGCAAAGTTTCTTTCACCCTATGCCCCTGTTACCTAGCAGTAAAATAGGTACCTGCGTGTTAGTCAGCTGTCACGGGCTGCTTCCTGGGGGTGGAGGCCTGGTCGAGGACCGGGCCGCGGGGACACTAAAGCCCCGAAATCATCTCAAGATAACCTCAAGATAAGAAGACACACTAGAGATTGACCACTAGTCACACCTTCGCGTCATCTTTTCCAAATGATACAAAAATCAGCATGAAAATTGCTATTGTAGAAGACACAGATAAACTACAGGCAAATATTAATAAAGTCTTCGATTGGGCAACTGAAAATAGCATAATGTTTATCGTGACAAGTTCCAGGCACGATACACAGAGGGGTACAGGACGCAATGAGACCTACTCATAGAAGGAAAGCAACATGTAACATAAAAAGCAACACAATCGACTTGAGAATGGTCCAGGACGGACCGAAACGTCGTCGTCCCTTCACCTTCTAGTGTGTGGTCTGGTCAACAACATGTAAAAGATCTGGTGATGGTGATGTCTGACGACTGACATTTAGTGAACATAACCGAGCAAATATAGCGGCGGCCAGGAAAATGATATTATAGATTATGAGAACGTTCAAATCCAGAGACCCCACAACAATGTTAATACTATTTAAATCACTGGTGCTGTCCCGTCTTGAGTATTGCTCGGTACTCACTTCCCCTTTCAGAGCGGGAGAGATCTCTGACTTAGAGGGAATACAGAGAACATATACGGCACGCATAGACAAGATAAAACATCTAAATTATTGGGACGGTCTCAAAGCTCTCAAAATATACTCTGGAAAGGAGATGAGAAAGATATCAAATAATATATACATGGAAGATACTGGAGGGCCAGGTCTCAAATTTGCACGGTAGAATAACAACATACTGGAGCGTATGTTGTACAGAAGGAAATGCAGAATAGAACCAGTAAGGAGTAGAGGTGCCATAGGCACAATCAGAGAACACTGAACATCAGAGGTTCACAGCTGTTCAACACCCGCCCAGCGAGCATTAGAAATGAAGGTGAATGTGTTCAAGAGGCACTTGGACAGGTTTTTGCAAGAAATGCCGCACCACACACTGGCCTGGCGTTCCGCGAGCGCTTTGTCCTGGGGTCGTATCCTGCCCGGGGAGGATTTACTGGACGTCAATCCTTAACTGTAGCCTCTGTTTACCCAACAGTAAAATGGGTACCTGGTTGTTAAACGTTTTGGCGGGTGGTATTCCAGGGACCGTAGGATTAAGGACCTGCCCGAGACGCTACGGTGCTGGTGGCTGTACACGACTGTAACAACTCTTGTGTATTCACCTAGTTGTATTCACCAAGTAGATTCGCGCGCACACACACACACACGTATGTGTGTGACTCCTTCTGAAGATGTATTAATATACGAAAGTACTTAAGGAAATTCCTGTTTCAATTTTCCTCCGTGGTCTGACACTGTCACATTTTTAATCACGTGTTTATTTTCGTGATTTACACACATATATAATATACAATAATATAATATAATATAATATAATATAATATAATATAATATATAATATAATATAATATAATATAAAAAGTGAACAGAGGCATTAGGCGGTAGGAAACGTGCCCGCTCTAGATTCCAGATTTCGAGTCGAGAGCGAACCCAATATTGCATATATGGCAGGGAGAATAGAGTTGTCAGACTACCACATTGAGGGAGGGGGGGGGACCTTTGACAAACTGCCGGCGTCCTGTCTCCGTCGAGACCACTAGAGAGAGTCGCCTTCAGGTAAATTCAGGTATAGAGCTTGGAGAGTGTAAATGTTGTATAAATATGTGCGCGTCTCCCCCCTCTTTTCCATGCTGCCTCGCCGTTTTCTGCGGCGTATCCAGTCTTCACCCGCCAGCGCTGCCACTCAGCTAATTACCCCCCACTCCCTCCCATGTCTCTCTTTCCTACCAAATTATATCTAAATAATAATAATAATAATAATAATAATAATAATAATAATAATAATAATTTAAGAAGAAAAATATTCACTGGTTATATTACATTGTGTTGATATCTGGTATAGCGCTGCCATTTTGTTCATGAGGCTGTGTAGTCCTACTGGATTAATTCTCCTGATAATTGCCTTATCTTATAAGGCCACTAAACACCCACAGTCATGCAATAATATAATAGTTTTAGGAACCTTACTTTCTGGTTACCTTGTGATGGTTTCGGGGCTTAGCGTCCCCGCGGCCCGGTCGTCGACCAGGCATCCTGGTTGCTGGACTGGTCAACCAGGCTGTTGGACGCGGCTGCTCGCAGCCTGACGTATGAGTCACAGCCTGGTTGATCAGGTATCCACTGGAGGTGTTTGTCAAGTTCTCTCTTGAACACTGTGAGGGGTCGGCCAGTTATGCCCCGTATGTGTTACGGGAGCCGGTCGGCAGAGCGGACATCACACTGGACTTGTGATCCTGTGGTCCCGGGTTCGATCCCGGGCGCCGGCGAGAAACAATGGGCAGAGTTTCTTAAACCCTACGCCCCTGTTACCTAGCAGTAAATAGGTACCTGGGTGTTAGTCAGCTGTCACGGGTTGCTTCCTGGGGGTGGAGGCCTGGTCGAGGACCGGGCCGCGGGGACACTAAAGCCCCGAAATCATCTCAAGATAACAGAATCACGTGCCCAGTGTTCTGTCTGCTCAGCCGCCGGCTCCGGCTATACGGTGTCTGTAATATAATTTTATATAATTATATATACAGCAAAATTTGCAAATTTGCAGAGTATTGAGCGGGCAAATAAATTCAGAAAGACTCAGAAGTGCGACAAGATAAAGCTTTTAAGATGGGTTAAAGATTAGTAGATGGCGTTTAATGCTGAAAATGTCGGGTTCTGTGGCGGGGTAATTAGGATAGTTACCAGATATCACCTGGTAGCTATCAATTTTCCGATATAGCAATTTAAACTATTGCTTAAATTGCGATATCGGAATGTGACAAAGATATGGAAGTCATTATTAGTGCGGATCTTATGCCAAATTAAATGCATAAATGTACGAGATAAGGTAAATATAATAATGGGATCCAATTTCTATAAGGGGATTAGAATAAGAGATCTAATGTTGTTATTTAGCTGGACTTTGCTCCTGTTTGGCGCCATTTTATTCAAATGGATTAAAAGATATAAGGGTAACGTCTTACTAATATCCTCCATGTCAATATAAAATAGAACACGAAACGACGGATATATAAATTGTATAAGTTTAGATTCAGAAAAGCAACCCGTCCTCTTAAAAATAACGTCACTTTTGGCTCGTATGCGCACTATGGCCAAATTTGGACGTAATTTCAAATGAAATCGACTCACAAAAGTGACGTACTGTTCCGTTTTCTGTTTGAGTCGTCCGGCTTACTCGGGTAGCTTAGAAGAGACAACTTTCCATTAACGTTTTTCATACCGTTTTGAAACTTTATGAGAATTTCCTGCCCACCTAACCTATCAGAGGACCCTTAATTTACCGTTGTTGAAAAAAAAATCCAAAATTTATATTCATAGTTTTTTTTCATTTTCAAATTACGTCTATATTCGGCTATATGGGTAAACGGCCAAAAGCGACGTTCTTTTTAAGAGGACAGTTTGTTCTAGACCTGGGGGTAGAGACAGGTTTGGAGGCATGGTTGTCGATGTGTTGAACAAGTTAACGGGTAACCTAACCGACGTGCGATTGTTGGAATGTTTCAAGCGCATGGTAAACACACACACACAACCGAGTTTGGGTAGATAGGGTACGCCTCGCGAGGGCCAATAGGCCTTCTGCAGTTTCCTTGAGTATGTTGTTAGGCTCGGGCTGGTGCCACTGTTCTCGTAGCACTTCTTGTCCTACTATGCACCACCCGATTTGCATAATAAGCCAAGTTTTCCTATTGTTATATGTTTTCCTATTTTTTTCGTGTGAAATGATGAAGTTTTCCATTACATTATATATGATTTCATTTTGTTTAATTTGAGTTAAAGATAACGTAGAACTATGACCCAACCTGTCTTAAACTAAATTAACATAACTAGGTCAGAAATTTTTGTTCCTAATACAATATAATATTAATTCAAATAGACCAATTGGAAACAAATTTTTGAAACTAACTAAAATCACTCTGCCTATTAGGCAAATCGGGCCTAGCATACTAGGCCGAGTAGTGCGTTTGGCTATTAGGTACGACACACACACACACATTGCCAACGGCCATACCACGTTGAGAACACCGCTTCTCGTCCGATCAGCGAAGTTAAGCAACGTTGGGTTTGGTTAGTACTTGGATGGGTGACCGCCTGGGAACACCAAATGCTGTTGGCAATAATGTTCACCTGTTGATTGACAGATGAGAGGCGGGACCAAAGAGCCAGAGCTCAACCCCCGCAAGCACAACTAGGTGAGTACAACTTGGTGAGTACAACTTGGTGAGTACACACACACACACACACACACACACACACACACACACAGGGGAATTGACAAAGTGGAAATAGATGAAATGTTCACACGTAATAATAACACACACACACACACACACACACACACACACACACACACACACACACACACACACACACACACACACACACACACATATTAAAGATTAGTTTTATTGGCTTGTATGATAATTATGGATGTGCATTTGTGCATTTGCCTATAATTTGTGTGTTATAGCCTTAGTGTAAGACAGTTGTGTTCTTGCAGATGGACTCCTTCCTGGGCAACACGCGGCCATTCTTCCAAGGGTTGCCGACTTCCACTCGTGGATATGATGGATCCACACTGGAGGACCAAACCCATGCTCCGCCCACACCCACCCCCCCGGCCACGCCCACACTGCCACCTGCCCACGTCTACCATCCCTACCAGCACCCATCAAGTGTCCCAGGTGCTGCGACGGCCACTAGTCTACCTGGTCTGCTGCCTCCTAGCCGACCCATTACACCTGCTACTCCCTCACACAAGCTTCCAGACCATACACAAGCTGCCTCGCCGTACAGTGTAGTGTCTTTCTTACAACCACATACCACCAAAGCTTCCACTAATGAGGCACGCTATCTGGCTCACCTTGAGCAATTACGCCAGGCAGCTGCAGCGGCAACGGCCGCAACTCCATCAAGATCTTCTAATACCTTACATGATTCGCGGATGCCAGTGCGTCCATATAACAACCAACCATCTCTTGTAACAGATCCTCGCATGCCAACTCGACCATATATTGCCCAGTCGACTCTGTCCCCAGAAAGCCGCACACTTCCTCGTCTATACACCACACAAGCTCCCAGTGCAGCAGAATTACGGCCAACTCGACCATACAGCACACATTCTGGCGTAAAGGGAGACTCTAAAATTCCTGCACGGCCGTATAGCACTCAGTCTGCTCCTTCCAGTGACATGAGGACGTATTCTCATCCGTTTATCCCTCAGTCCCTTGCTACAGATTGCCGAAGTCATTTGGAAAGTAAATATCCCCCTAAAAGCGAGTCTAGGTCAGACCTTCGGGCACTTGAGACTCGCTCTGATCCAAGAGCAGACTTCAGGCATGAACAGTGGGGTCAGCTGTATAGGGCTCCTGAAGCCAAGCCCTTGGAGAAATTGGCGCCTTCCGTCCACATCTCTGTAACCCCTATCAGTGTGAACGGCTCCAATGATGCTCTTTATTTAGGAAAGAAACCTGATGATATAAGTTTAAGACGATCAGAAGATCAATATATTAGAAATGTAGAAACCTTGCAAGTCAATGGGTCACGGGATTCATTGTATCCAAATGGTTCTCATAGCTCCTATTCCTCCGACAAACAGAGAGAATCTTCAAGAGAAAAACAAGCAGATTCACGACTAAAGGAAGATTCTGCCCTAGATCTGTCTGTAAAAACTGTAAGGCAAATTCCTGACTCAACTGCTCCAGATCCTGAAAAAAGTTTTAATGCTTCTCTTATGGGTGAAGTGACTATTCAGAAAATATCCCAAAGTGATCTTCTCGCGTGCACGTCGGGCTCTCTCTCTGTCACTTCGCCAGATAAGGCTAATAGTAATTCAATATCATGTCCTAGAGATCTTTCCAGGGTTACTGCTCCAAGCATTTCAGGGACTCCGAGGGCAACACCTCCAAGTCAAATAGCCTTACAGTATGGGATAAATGGTTCCCCTAGTCCTCTGTCATCATCCAGCTCACTGGTGCGGGCGTCCCACGTGGTGCCCTCCGCCAAGCGGGCGGGCGACCCGGCCTATTTTGAAAACTACGCCAAACTTCCTCGAAGAAGTCATACACCGCCTATGAAGTCGGCCATCCCATCCCGGCAGATGGCTGATGTTAGTTTACCCATTCATCAACATAATAAATCTTTATACAGTGGGCACAAAGACTCCTTATCAGATCAGAATCGTGGCCTCCATCTCCTGGCAGCTGCAACGCTGAAAACTGAACATGATATCCGGTTTGGCAGAGAACCTGTCACTGGTAGAAGACAACCCAACATCAATAGCAGAGATGTAAATCAATGGAGAGATATTAGTTTAGAAAGAATGAATAGAAATTCCAGTTTAGAGAGGAGAGACTTTAGCATCGAAAGAAGAGATCCAAGTTTAGAAAGAAGAGATCCATGTTTAGAGAGAAGAGATCCAGGTTTAGAGAGAAGAGATCCAGGTTTAGAAAGAAGAGATCCAAGCCTAGAAAGAAGGGATCCAAGCTTAAAAAGAAGGGATCCGAGCCTAGAAAGAAGAGATCCCGGCCTAGAAAGAAGAGATCCGAGCCTTGAAAGAAGAGATCCCGGCCTAGAAAGAAGAGATCCGAGCCTTGAAAGAAGAGATCCCGGCCTAGAAAGAAGAGATCCGAGCTTTGAAAGAAGAGATCCCGGCCTAGAAAGAAGAGATCCGAGCCTTGAAAGAAGAGATCCGGGCCTAGAAAGAAGAGATACAAGCCTAGAAAGAAGAGATACAAGCCTTGAAAGAAGAGATACAAGCCTTGAAAGAAGAGATACAAGCCTTGAAAGAAGTCTTGAACTGAAAGAATTAAGCTTAGAAAAATGGAATCTTAACTCTGTTATGGATCAAAAGTATATGCATAACAAGCATTCAGACGCTTTTGATCCTTATAGAGTCTGGGTAAATACTTCTGAGCAGTCCAACCCTAACAGTGATAACGGCAAGTATTTACCAGGACAGTACCCTATACCAGCTTCCGTCCCCTCCACTTTACCTCATCAAGGTTCAAGGGTTTCTTCTGCTCAACCTTCCCATCCTTACTCAACTTATGGACGTCCTCCAGACACAAGGCTACCTCAGACACCCTATTCCCAGTCGACACATACTGCTGCTCCCGTGCAGCACTCGCAAGTGAGCGTGGAACAGTCACCACATGGCAAAATGCATCAGACATATACCCAGAGCAGAATGCTACAGGCTTCATCAGCACACAGTAGTGGGCACTGTTCTCAGTCCCCCGTTACTACATGTGTCACACAGTCTTATCAGCATCCATATACAGCAAGCCAGCAACAGAGGCATCAGCAACAACGGTCAGGCCACACACAGCATTCATCATTTACTATTCCTCACTCCACAAAATCAGCAGCTTCTCTACCACCGCCACATTTCATGCCCCAGCAGTCAGCCCATCAAGCATATTTATATGCCCAACAGCGTAATGAATCATCTCATGCCTTGTACGCAGCCAAGCGATCAAATCAAACATCTCCTCATCCGTCTGGTTCGCCACAGTCTTCAGTATCTCCACATCCTTCCATGTCACCACATTTAGCAGCATCACCTCATTCGTCCGCTTCTCCACATCCAGTAGCAGCATCACCACGCTCTGGTGTCTCTCCTCATCCATCCCAACAGGGTAGAACTCCTCAGTCTTCACCACATCCTGCTCAGAAACTTCCGGCAAGCTCTCCAGCCCAACATTCAAGCCATGCCTATCCAGGAAGTCTCCCTCCTAGTCCATATTCAGGTCACCAGACCTACCCACCGCACTCCACTCCACCCTCTAGACCACCATCAGCAGCAGCCCAGTCTGTTCATTCGAACCATCCATCTAAAATGCCAGCTTCACAAGCCTCTCAACCCCTAGCTTCTCACCTATCACAGTCTAATGTTAATCGATCTACTGAGCCTCACACAGTTCAGTACACAGAGGATCATGCGCCTCAGGGTTACCCATCGCAAGCACATACACAACTACAGTCGCATCTTTTGCATGGTGTTCCTCCGCAGTCTCATCCCTCTCAGGTGTGTCCCCCACACACTCACAGCTCTCACTCTCATCACCTTCAGACCCAGCCTCACACTTCTCAAGCTTATCATTATCCACTGCAGGGTCATCCCTATACTTCTCAAGTTCCTCATCATTCCCAGCTCTCCCCTCATCCCTCACAAGCTCCTCAGCATCCCTCACAAGCTGCTCTTCAGTCTCCCCAAGGTACTCCCAATTATTCCCAAGCACTTGCCCATCCTTCACACGGTCACTCGAATTCTTCACAAGCCATATCTCCGTCTCATTCTTATTTGCCTCAGGCACCTCATGCTGCTCATTCTTCACAAGCTCCTCTACATACATCTCTTTACTCTACCAGAGCTTCTCCACACTCCTCTCAAGCTTCCGCTCATATTTCCCAAGCTTCCGCTCATATTTCCCAAGCTTCTCCATATACTTCACAAGCTTCCTTACACACTTCTCAAGCTCCCACACAATCTTCTCAGACTTCCACATACTCTCCCCAATATTCTCAGTCTCCTTCCCAATATTCTCAAGCTCCTTCCCATTATTCTCAAGCTTCTTCCCATTATTCTCAAGCTTCTTCCCAATATTCTCAAGCTTCTTCCCAATATTCTCAGGCTCCTTCCCAATATTCTCAGGCTCCTTCCCAATATTCTCAGGCTCCTTCCCAATATTCTCAAGCTTCTTCTCAATATTCCCAAGTTTCTCAGCATTCTCAAGCTTCTTCCCAATATTCTCAAGCTCCACCTCACTCATCTCACGCCCCACTCCACTCCTCACAAGCCCCTCCTCACTTCTCACAAGCCTCGCCTCACTCTTTACAAGTACCACCCCTCTCCTTGCAAGCTCCCACCTATCCCTCCCAAGCCCCGCCTCACTCCTCACAAGCCCCGCCTCACTCCTCACAAGCCCCGCCTCACTCCTCACAAGCCCCGCCTCACTCCTCACAAGCCCCGCCTCACTCCTCACAACAAGCCTCGCAAACCCCGCCTCCCTCCTCACAAGCCTCCTCCCTCCTCACAAGCCCCGCCTCACTCCTCACAAGCCCCGCCTCACTCCTCACAAGCCCCGCCTCACTCCTCACAAGCCCCATCCCAAGCCCCTCCCCACTCCTCGCAGGCCCTTCCCCACTCCTCCCAGGCCCCACCTCACTCCCAGGCCCCGCCTCACTCCTCCCAGGCCCCGCCTCACTCCTCCCAGGCCCCGCCTCACTCCTCCCAGGCCCCGCCTCACTCCTCCCAGGCCCCGCCTCACTCCTCACAGGCCCCGCCTCACTCTTCCCAGGCCCCGCCTCACTCCTCCCAGGCCCCGCCTCACTCCTCCTCAGGCCCCGCCTCACTCTTCCCAGGCCCCGCCTCACTCCTCACAGGCCCCGCCTCACTCCTCCCAGGCCCCGCCTCACTCTTCCCAGGCCCCGCCTCACTCTTCCCAGGCCCCGCCTCACTCTTCCCAGGCCCCGCCTCACTCCTCCCAGGCCAAGCCCCAGCCCTCCCAGGCCAAACCCCAGCCCTCGGAAGTCCCTCCCCAGCCCTCAGAAGTCCCTCCCCAGTCCACAGAGGTTCTGCCCCAGTCCTCAGATAACCCACCCCAGTCCTCGGATGCCCCACCCAAGTCCACGAAAGTCCCACCCCAGTCCTCGGAAGTCCCACCCCAGTCCTCGGAAGTCCCACCCCAGTCCTCAGAAACCCCACCCCAGTCTTCGCAAGCCCCAACCCAGTCCTCGGGAGCCCCACCCGAGTCCTCGGAAGCCCTACCCGAGTCCTCGGAAGCCCTACCCCAGTCCTCGGAAGCCCTACCCCAGTCCTCGGAAACCCCAGCCAAGTCCTCGGAAGCCCCACTCCAATCCCCGAAAGCCCCGACCCAGTCCCCGCAAGCCCCGCCCAAGTCCCCGCAAGCCCCGCCCAAGTCCCCGCAAGCCCCGACCCAGTCCCCGCAAGCCCCGACCCAGTCCCCGCAAGCCCCGACCCAGTCCCCGCAAGCCCCGACCCAGTCCCCGCAAGCCCCGACCCAGTCCCCGCAAGCCCCAACCCAGTCCCCGCAAGCCCCGACCCAGTCCCCGCAAGCCCCGACCCAGTCCCTGCAAGTCCCAATCCAGTCCCCGCAAGCCCCAACCCAGTCCTCGCAAGCCCCGCCCCAGTCCTCGCAAGCCCCGCCCCAGTCCTCGCAAGCCCCGCCCCAGTCCTCTGAAACCCCTCCTCATATTTCCCAAGCTCCTCATCCTGCCCAAGCTCCTCATCCTTCCCAAGCTCCTCATCCTGCCCAAGCTCCTCATCCTTCCCAAGCTCCTCATCCTGCCCAACCTCCTCATCCTTCCCAACCTCCTCATCCTTCCCAACCTCCTCATCCTTCCCAACATCCTCATCCTTCCCAACATCCTCATCCTTCCCAACATCCTCATCCATCCCAAGCTCCTCATCCTTCCCAAGCTCCTCATCCTTCCCAACATCCTCATCCTTCCCAACATCCTCATCCTTCCCAAGCTCCTCATCCTTCCCAAGCTCCTCATCCTTCCCAAGCTCCTCATCCTTCCCAAGCTCCTCATCCTTCCCAACATCCTCATCCTTCCCAAGCTCCTCATCCTTCCCAACATCCTCATCCTTCCCAACATCCTCATCCTTCCCAACATCCTCATCCTTCCCAACATCCTCATCCTTCCCAAGCTCCTCATCCTTCCCAACATCCTCATCCTTCCCAAGCTCCTCATCCTTCCCAAGCTCCTCATCCTTCCCAAGCTCCTCATCCTGCCCAAGCTCCTCATCCTTCCCAACATCCTAATCCTTCCCAAGCTCCTCATCCTTCCCAGCATCCTCATCCTGCCCAAGCTCCTCATCCTTCCCAAGCTCCTCATCCTTCCCAAGCTCCTCATCCTTCCCAAGCTCCTCATCCTGCCCAAGCTCCTCATCCTTCACAAAATTCTCATCCTACCCAAGCTCCTCATCCTTCGCAAGCTCCTCATCCTTCCCAAGCTCCTCATCCTGCCCAAGCTCCTCATCCTTCACAAAATTCTCATCCTGCCCAAGCTCCTCATCCTTCGCAAGCTCCTCATCCTGCCCAAGCTCCTCATCCTGCCCAAGCTCCTCATCCTGCCCAAGCTTCTCATCCTTCCCAAGCTTCTCATCCTGCCCAAGCTTCTCATCCTGCCCGAGCTCCTCATCCTACCCGAGCTCCTCATCCATATCAAGCGCCACATCCTTACCAAGCTCCTCTCTATTCTTCCCATCATTCCCATCCTTCACAGGCTTTTTCCTATCCTCCCCATCCTTCCCAGATCCCTCCCCAGTCTCCACAAGCCCATCCTCATCCTTCCCAAGCCCCTCCCCATCCTTCCCAAGCTCCTCCCCATCCTTCCCAAGCCCCTCCCCATCCTTCCCATGCCCCTCCCCATCCTTCCCAAGCTCCTCCCCATCCGTCCCATGCCCCTCCCCATCCTTCCCAAGCCCCTCCCCATCCTTCCCAAGCCCCTCCCCATCCTTCCCAAGCCCCTCCTCATCCTTCCCAGCCCCTCCTCATCCTTCCCAAGCCCCTCCTCATCCTTCCCAAGCCCCTCCCCATCCTTCCCAAGCCCCTCCCCATCCTTCCCAAGCTCCTCCCCATCTTTCCCAAGCTCCTCCCCATCCCTCCCAAGCTCCTCCCCATCCTGCTCAAGCTCCTCCCCATCTTTCCCAAGCTCCTCCTCATCCCTCCCAAGCTCCTCCCCATCCTTCCCAAGCTCCTCCCCATCTTTCCCAAGCTCCTCCCCATCCCTCCCAAGCTCCTCCCCATCCCTCCCAAGCTCCTCCTCATCCTTCTCAAGCTCCTCCCCATCCCTCCCAAGCTCCTCCTCATCCTTCCCAAGCTCCTCCCCATCTTTCCCAAGCTCCTCCCCATCCTTCTCAAACACATCTTTATTATCAAATGTACCCTCATCCCTCTCAAGCTACCCCTCATCTGTCTGAAGCTGCTCCTCATCCCTCTGAAGCAGCTCCTCATCCCTCCCAAGTCCCTCCTCACTCTTCTCGTATTTCACCTCAGATTTCTCAAACCTCATCTCACCCGACTTATGCCCCACCTCATCGTTCCCAAGCCCCACCTCATCGTTCTCAAGCCCCCTCTCATCGTTCCCAAAACCCACCTCATCGTTCCCAAAACCCACCTCATCGTTTTCAAGCCCTACCTCATCGTTTTCAAGCCCCAGGTCATCGTTTCCAAGCCCCACCTCATCCTTCCCAAGCCCCACCTCATCCTTCCCAGACCCCTCCTCATTCAACTCATGTGTATTCACATCCCACCCAAGCCCCACCTTCCTCCAAAGCTCCTACACATCTTTCACAAGTCCCTCATCCTTCCCTGGGTTCCTCCTCCTCATCTGAAGCCCATCACCATTCGCCCCAGGTATCACCCCATTCTTCTCAAGACCCATCATATGTGCAAGCACCTTCCCATAATTCCCAGACTTATTCCCATACTTCTCCAGCCCATTCTCATCCATCCCTTCCTCGTCCTGCTCAATCCCATAGTCACACATCCCTGCCCCACTCATCTCTTGCCACAACCCTCCCATCCCAGACATCTCCTCGGACTTCTCAGTCTCATCTCAATCCTTCTGAGCTCCAAGCTCATCTGTCTCAGCCCCATCCTTCTCAGCCTTATTCCCATTCCTCTCAGTCATATCCTCATCCACCTCAGCCTTACACACATTCTGCACAAGCTCAGCCTCGTCCTTCTCAAACACATTCACATCCTCCACGAAGTCATGTACAAAATTCTCAGTCTCGCTTCCCAAAAGCCCAATCTTCTCAGTCTCGCTTCCCAAAAGCCCAATCTTCTCATCCTAATGCTTCCCAGATACGTTTACCTCATCCAGCACAACATGGTCACATTATGTATTCCTCACACCAGACCACTCTGCCGCATACTTCTAAGCTTCGTGCATCTCATCCTTCTCATAGGAACAGTTCTCATCCTTCTCAGCCTCATCTATCTCACGGGCATCCTCACCATGCCCAGAATGTACATCATCAGCCAACAAGGCTTCCACATCCATCTGTCAAGATTGAAAATGTTCCTGGTGCCTCTCAATACCCTGGATATATATATCCTTCACAATACTCTACAGCCAGACCAGATACAGGACTGGGTAAAGGTCAACCTGATTCTACCCCTCAACATACAGAACCAGTTTCAGCAAATTCTAGGATCTCCCAAGATAGTGATTTATCACGAATACGTACAAAAGGTGAACAAAAAGCATTTGATCCTCGAAATGCTGTGAGTGGCAAGTCAAGTGTGAGGGTGGATCCATGGAATCGATGCGCCCAAGGTATTCAAGACATTCAACACCCTCATCCTGGTGATAGAGCTGTGAATTCATCTTATAATGGCACAAAACCACCCACCCAACCTTCGCTTGTTAGTGATCGTCAAGGTGGGCCAAAGACTTCCACTGTTTTTGAATTCAAGGATGAGGAGGGTAATAAATCAGATCAAGTTCAGGTTGCAAGCAAGATACTAGAGCCAGGTAAAGCAGCTCTAGCGGAGAAACTTCAAAGAAAAATTCAAAATGCTGGCAGCCTTGAGTCTCTTGTAACTATAAAGGACAGTGTGCAAGAGCTGGTCACAATAAAGAAGGAAGAACCACCAGAAGAAAGTGAATGGGACTTGGCTATAAACAAGTTTGTGGGTGATCTGGCAGTGAATCCTGAAGGAGTAACAAGTAAGAAGAGCAAATCTCTAGGAAGGCGATATTTACAGAAAGTTCAAATACAGCATGCTATTGACAATGATCTCATAGTGCCTCCCCCTCTAGATGCTGTGGAAGAGGAAGAGGAAAGTGAACCAGAACCACCAGTTAAATTCCGTGGGAAATTCAAGAGTATCAAAGATAAAAAGGTAGAACGATTAATACTGACATATGCATCACATTCAGATGAAAGTGCTACTGAAATGATCCCTGATGAAGATGCTAGTGATTTTGAAGAGGAATTAAAACGGGAAATAAGATCAAAAGATAAACGTCGAGGGCATTCCCGGAGATCGACAAAAGGTTATAAAAGCAGCGGAAGTGAATCTGAAAGAAGAAATAGAAAAGGAGGTTATGGGAGAAATAAGGAAAATAGACCCAATAATAAGCAAGACTCTGACTTCTCCTTTAACAGTGACAGTGACAGTGATAGTGACAGTGATAGTGATAGCAGTTCTAGTGTCAGTAGTGATGATTCCGATAGTGACGATTCCGATTCGGAAGAAGAAGTAAGGCCACGCAGAAAAACAAAGAGGAGATCAGAGAGCGAAGAGGAAGAGAAACCTAGGAGGCGGAGTAGAAAGTGGAATAGTGATAGTAGTGAATCAGAAGAGGAAATTATACCTCGGAGAAGAACCAGAAGAGGATATAAATCATCAAGTGATGACGAGTCATTTAAAGCTTCACAGAAAAATAAAAAGAGAAAGAAGAGACAGGACACAAGTGATTCAGAAGAAATGCCATTAAAGATAAGGAAGGGTAAAAAGAAAATTTGTGAATCCGATGAGGAGGAGGAGGAAGAGGATACTGGAGCAAGAAAGGCCAAGAAAAGAAGCTCATTAAACAGAAAACAGCAGAAGAGGAGCAAGAGGAAAGATTCAGAAGAGGAGTCAGAGGCAGAAACAATTTCCAGAAAGACTAGAGGCATGAAGAGAAAACTGCAGGAAACTAAAAAAGGTAAGAGGAGAAAGCAAATAAAAAATGTAAGCTCTTCCTCAGAATTTGATGAAGCAAATAATGGTAAAGATAAAACTGAACAAAGAAAGAAATGCAGCAAAAATAAGACACAGAAATCTGCTGAAGACACTAGTGAAAACTCGGACATACCAACCAAAAAGAAAAATCATTCTAAGAGCAATGTTATTGTTGATAGTGATGACAGCGATGATTTAAAAAAGAGTGATGTGGAAGAAAAGAGTTCTAATGAAAAACAAATGGGTGCTATAAAAGTTGAAACTGATGAAACTACAGATAAAGAAAACACCATTAAAATTGCAGGTGAAACAGAGCCACAAGATGGAGAGGAGATTTTAGGCTCTGAAAATGAAATAGAATTTGTAAATGACTCTGTAATTGAAAAACTGAAGAAAATTCGAGATGAGGAGCTAAACAGAGATGACGTGAAGGAAATGAAAGTGTGGCTAAGTGAAGTAAATACTGACTTAAAAAAGCAACTTGGAAATCTTCAGGAGACGGCTGTGAGGCATTATTGGAAAAAGCCAGAGTTTGGAGCTGGGGATGATTTCCTCCATGGATGGCAAACAGAAGTGAAAAAATACAAAGAAGTTACAGCAAGATTCCCAAAGAAACTTTGCCAAGCTGCCAAACACCAAAGTTCAGTCTCGCCTAGTAAAGGTACCTCGAGAAAAGGCAAAGATCGTGACACGGGGTCGTCATCTCCTGCCAAAAATACTCGTAGTAAATCTGGGATAATCAAGACTAGCATGGCGGTAGCAGAAGATGAGAGACTGAAGGTGGCAGCACGGCCAGAGATTAGCACAGTCATGCAAAGGTTCTTTGATAAGGTCTTGGCTGAAACAGGAAGTGATAGCACTAAGGGTGTACTTTCATCCAAAAAATTCACCCTTGGACCATTTTCTGCTTTTGCTACTCTAAGAGTCCCTACAGGACTTACACCAACACCATCAGTAGCACCCTCTATGATGGCAAGTGATGACTCGGATATGGACTCGCTAGCTAGCCTAAGAACTGACCTTCCAGCATCTGATAGTATCCCAGTGTCACGAAGGTCAATAGCTAGTAGCCTTTTGAAAAAGTTTGGGCGTAAATATAATGAAAGGAAGCTCAACACACTGTGCCTCAACAAACCTAGACCAGTACTGGAAGCTACAAACAAACCTCAACTCCTGCCTACACCTGGAATGCCAACAACGGAGAAGGATCTTGAGGATATGTCACCAGATAATCTTAAGATTGCAACATTTTTCAGGAAAGAAACTGTTAGTAATTATAGAGATAACTTTGAAGTGGTTGTGACAAAGAATGGAATGAATGAATTCACACCAATCCTATACCAGTCAAGAACTCGCAACAAAGAAAAGCAGATTCAGGATGCTGCTACAGTAAAGTCTGTTTTTGGTACAGATATTCCACCTCATCTAATCAAGAAAACAGAGACTAAGAAAGCTAAGAAATTAAAGAAAGAGAAAAAAGATGAAGTAAAAGTTTCGGTTAAAGATGAGAGTTCTCCAGTACCTGTAAGTCGTGCAAGTACCCCTGGTGGGTTTGTATTCGCTCAAGGAGATGACGACGATGATTCTGAACTACGTAGTGAACGTTCCGAGTCTGTCCTCGGGGAATCATCTGTTCCTCGAGCAGCCAAGAGGGTACGACGGAAATTCCGCAAATTCAGAAGTGGTTTTGACTATATACGAAAAAAGAAGAAAGTGAAGCCCGATGATGAAACGACTCCATCCAGAAAACGCTTGGTAAATAAACTTTTACAGTACAGCATGTCATGTCAGATTAATGTGCTCTTTATTGTAGCTGATAACTTTTTTTACCAGATATAATATATTTTTATTTTTTATTTTTTTTTAAGCAAACTATTGTATATTACAGTACGGTAATAGTAAATACCTGTACTACACTGTTAAAGTAAAAATGGCATGTAGAACAGTATAGTAAGAACAAAATGTTAGTTTTTTTTATGGGATTTATATTTAACTTTACTGTTTTAATAGCTGCACCACCTGGGGGTTAAGGGAGAGAGAAACTGGTTTATACAAATTTTGTGCTGTGATACGTTCAGACCATAGAGGTTGATAATTTGGAAATATTTCATCTAAACTGATTAATATATCTACAGTATACTGTACATGAATGAGGTCAGAATTATTGTTGTAAGTTTAAAGTTTGATCTTTAGACTTTTTCATTTAATGCAAAGAACATCATGATGTGAATCAAATTTGTCTTCCTCAGTGAAAACTTTAAAGGTTGTCCAGTTATTTTTACTGTATATAAATATAAAGATTTGACAAAATATTGATTTGGAAGAGTATAGAAGATAATGATGATTTTAGTTGAAGAGGTGCATCTTAGATTTTTACATTAAGACTGTTTGTTGAGAGAGCCTGTGAGAAGGGATATGAAGTATGTAGGTACTGTATGTGGTTGATTATGAACTTTTGGAAAAGTGAGTAGGAAGGGTCTCCTGTGAGTGTTGAGCATATATGAGTTGCCCTCTTACAAAGAAGGCAAGCTGCCTATTAATTTGAAGATAACATTATCTCCATATCAAAGCCAGGTAAAATGGATGAATTCAGACCTATCTCTCATGTACAGATTATACAAGATGGAGTACAGCCCTTAATAGATCTTCTGGCTCATTACACTTAACTGCAGACAGAAGTAAATGGGTTGAGAAAAAGCAGATAGTACCTGTAGTGCTTTCTCTGTTAATACCTGTGAAGCCGATAACAGTGTCTAGATGACTGTGTTAAACCTGCAGGTGCATTTGACAATGCCAGTCATAAAGTAATTATTCATAAATTAATAAAACCTGGGCCTAAAAGCTATCTATATACTGTACTGTAAATCCATAGCTGATTATTATGTAACATGACAGCCAGCCAGTCAGTATATTTTCAAGGACTCTATGCAACACTTAAAATCCATGACCTGGGAGCTCACCAAGGTGGCATTTTTAATTCAACATCCTACAGGCACACAATAAGTTTTTCGTGGAAGTGCATGGTCTGTTGGGATCATAATATTACTGTTTAGCGCAAGTTCGGGAGAATAACGCAGGCAAGTTATGAAATGTAGCTCAAATAATCTACAGAGAAAATATCCTATTTTCTTTGGAACAGATATGAAGTTAATACAGTACTGTACCTAATTGATATCAACATGAACTCTGCTGACTTTGAAAAAGAATTTCACAACATGCCCATGCACTTGGCCCCAGCTCCAGACTCTTGGAATTCTATATTTATAAAAAAATGCAGAGTGCCAGTAACACAAGCACTCGTGTAATTACCTAGATCAAAAATTAGGCCAATAGAAATAATAGGTAAAGTAGGACAATGGATTCTAAATTTTGTCAAAAAAGAATGTAAAGAGTGATAGGTAATCAAATTAAAGCAAGTCCAAGTACAGTGAATAGCTCTGAACTTCAGGGCACCACTGTTTTTTCTTAAATCCTCTCATTTCGGTTAATTTAATGTGCAAAGAAGTCTGAGATGAGCTGAAATAAGCAGTCGTAGTATCTGTATAACAGGACAGTTCAGTGTCCTGTTCTATACTGTTCTATAGTTCTATACTGGTATTGACTTGCATATTGGTAAAGTAGTACCTCTGTTAAAGTACTGAGGCTCGTACATAGTTCTTGTCAGTACTCCTACTGAATTACCTTTGGTCCTAAAGAGAATTAAATATTTAGGTTATACTTGAAAAATTGAAAGGAAAGAATTTTACCAGCAGATAAAGGATAAAATATGGGATATATATTGTGAGAATACAAGTGCAAAAATGAAGACGTGGTGTTCATGAATGCAGTGGGTACATCGCGGTAAGAGAAGCGTGTGTGAAGTAAGAGAAGAGAGGGCACCTCTCACTTTGTGTCAGTGTTCTCTTCCTACCTAAACTGTGCAGATAACAAATTACTCAAATAAAACTAAGGCACTTGGAAAAACAGGGTTAGGTCCAAAGACCTAACCCTGAGAGAGAAATAAGTCCACATTTTCCAACCATTAATTGACAAAATACCTGTTTCAACACAAATTATTAATGCACCCTCCACTTTCCTATCACAAATACAACAAATAATGAAATCTAGAATACATGGAATGTACAATGATGTAAAAATATAGCCAACATATTTCATGGAAACATGAGGATGTAAGGGTGTGAGACTTACTGCCATGCAGTTGACATGACTGTGATCAATGAGAATTACTGTATTATGAATTATTCATGTTAATCAGTGTTGGTGCATTCGTAACCAGAGTATTTGTAAAATTCATTTGCACTTTGAAGCATTTTATTAATGTGCTTGTGTATGTACCTAAGAATCCGTATTATCTAATATTGGTACCAAAAAAGTGTGAACTTCCCATAATATTATTCTGAACTGGGAAGTAAATATTATAACATTTGGATATTGAATTGTCTTCATTATAAATTTTTAAGTAAATGAATTGGTCTTAAAGGAATATATTGCTGCATTGTTATTTATATTTTAAATATTTTATTAACAGCCTGTTCGCAAACACGTTAATTGGCCAGAAGAAAGCCGCGATGTGGCCTCAGAGGTTCGGAGTTGGGTTGTCAACAAAGGTCTGGGTGAAACTGTCTTGCATAAAGCTGCCAGACTTCAGTATCACGTAAGTATTCTTACTCTTCTGATCTCATTTTGAATCATTTGAGAGAAATTAAACTTGTTCAATGGCAGATATAGGACTGGCATAGTGGGGATATTTAATTTAATTCTGACAGAAATTATGCAGTAGAGATAAGAATTATATAATTAAGACAGGACTGTTTTGGTGGAGTGGAGGAATGTCTAGAAGAGGCAGGATCCCTGGGTTCAATTCCTAGCTGGGGCTGTAATGGATGGACATGTTTTCATTTACCTAATGCACCTGTTCACCTAGCAGTAAATAGGTTCCTGAGACTTAGGTCATTGTTATGAGGGTTGCATTTTGGGGAGGGTCAGTAATTTGACTTTGGGTAAGGGTGACTACTTAACACTTTCGTGCTCTGAGCGCACGACCTCCCCACTACCCCAGGTGGGTTTGGGTATTCCACGGGAGCACGTGGTAATTCTGAAAAGTATATACTCTTTTCAACTTTGTCACTTCAATTCTCGTCCTAAGATTTGGTATCAATTTGGTATCAATGTGTTGGCAATAAAATTCTCTAGAGGAGTAAATGCATGTAAACTCCAAAAGTCCGGCTTACCACCCGCAGCAAACAGAGAAAGTGTGAGCGAGTGCCCCGGGAGCGCACAAGAATGATAAAATGCGTACACTCTTTTCACTTTGGTCACCTCAATTTTCGTTCTAGGTCTTTCATTTTGGTATCAATGAGTTCGCAATAGAATTCTATAGAGGAGTATATGCATATATGTAAAATAAAAAACCTGGTCATGCTCCACCCGCCAACAAGACAGGCCAAGTGTTACCCGGGAGGGAGCGGCCAGAAGTCCACCCAATACACCCCCAATTCCCTAAACTAAACACTATTACACTAAACACTAAACTTCCCAATACTAAACAAATGTTTAGTATATTTTCCGGTTGCTAACATCAATTTTCGTGTTACAGCGCTCATTTTGGTATGAAATTTTTTCTAATAGAATGCTTTAGATAGATACATGCATATAAAGGCAAATTAAAGAACAATATTGTAAATACAATACAATAAAGTATAAACAACAATATAAACTATATAAAAAAATAAAACTATTTGTACTTACCAATTCAGTGTTGTTTGTGGAGCATGACATGGGTTGAACATTAGTTTTATCCACTCCACCTGCAGCAGGAAAACGTTTCCTGAAGGGTCAACCCAAGGGTCATATGAATCACAGCTTGGTTGATTAGGTATTCTTTGAGGGTGTTTGTCAAGTTTTCTTTTGAACACTTGGAGAGGTTGGCCAGTTCTGTTCCTTATATGTTACTGGAGAGTTAATTACTGTATAACATTTTCTATTTTAATTGTAGAGTATAACATTCCTGTTGCAGGCACTTGATTTCAATAAAACTCCCTCCATACTTTCATAATACAACCTGTAATGCTTGTTTTACTTTTTTTGCTTCTCACATCCACATAATAATGATCAGAGGGTAACTGGGGAGGGGGGAGGGGGTTGCAGGATTTCCTGGAATAGGAGCATTACAGAGCATCCAGGTAAAGGAAACCAGTTGAGATCAAATGGGTTCCAGACCATAGGAGGGGAAAAATATTTATAAGGTTGGGAAATCTTGAGATGATTTCCGGGGCTTAGCGTCCCCGTGGCCCGGTCCTCGACCAGGCCTCCTTTTTGTTACACCCCCCCCCCCCCAGGAAGCAGCCCGTAGCAGCTGTCTAACTCCTAGGTACCTATTTTACTGCTAGGTAACAGGGGCATCAGGGTGAAAGAAACATTTTGCCCATTTGTCTCCGCCTCCACCAGGGATCGAACCTGGAACCTCAGGACTACGAATCCGAAGCCCTGTCCACCCAGCTGTCAGGCGCCCACTTCTGTGGGTGCTATAGGTACGATCAGAGAACACTGTATAAACATCAGAGATCTACGGTTGTTCAACATCCTCCCAGCAAGCATAAGAATTATTGCCAAAATAACCATGGACATCTTCAAGAGAAATCTAGATTGTTTTCTAAAAGAAGTGCAGGACCAACCAGCTGTAGTGGGTATGTGGGCCTGCGGGCTGCTTCAAGCAACAGCCTGGTGGACCAAACTCTCACAAGTCAAGCCTGGCCTCGGGCTGGGCTTTGGGAGTAGAAGAATTCCCAGTACCCCATCAAGCAGGTAGCAGGCCCTTGAGTGGATGGCACCAGGCACTCAAAGAGGCTGGTTTCCACCATGCTCACACAAGGAGAGAGAAGACTGCTAGGGCCAGCTAGAGTCAAGCAGAATTACTCCCAGAGAGATGATATGATCACCACTTACAAAATACTAACAGGAATCAACCAAATTGACAGAAGTAGTCCTGAAACGAGCAATTTCACAAACAAGAGGACACAGATTCAAGCTACAAAAACAAAGGTGCCAAAAACAATATTAGAAAGTTTTCTTTTGCAAACAGAGTGGTAGACGGTTGAGACAAGCTAAGTGAGAAGGTGGTGGAGGTCAGAACTGTCAGTAGTTTCAAAGCATTATACGACAGAGTACTGGGAAGATGGGACACCACAAGCATAGTTCTCATCCTGTAACTACACTTCGGTAATTACACACACGACAGCAGGCTCCTCCTAGTACACGTAACCATGAAATGGTACAGGATTTTTTCATGAGTTCGGGTAAACTCCATTACATCCAATATATCCATTTCTGTAGCATACATGTAAAACCCAGACAATAATTGTTTAAATCGTTGAATGACGATAACTGCATTACCCCGTGAATCAATGAATGATGGTAACCACTGTCAAAGAGTTAAGATATGGGCACCATAAAACCACTGCATATTCCAACTTTGGTCTCACAAAGGTTAGGTTATATCTTGAGGTTATCTTGAGATGATTTCGGGGCTTTAGTGTCCCCGTGGCCCGGTCCTCGACCAGGCCTCCACCCCCAGGAAGCAGCTCGTGACAGCTGACTAACACCCAGGTACCTATTTTACTGCTAGGTAACAGGGGCATAGGGTGAAAGAAACTCTGCCCATTGTTTCTCGCCGGCGCCCGGGATCGAACCCGGGACCACAGGATCACAAGTACAGCATGCTGTCCGCTCGGCCGACCGGCTCCCTAAAGGTTGTGAACACTGAGAGGGATTGGTTGTGAACACTTTCTTTAGTATTTGACCATCTATGTATTTAAAAGCAATTATGTAAAGCTGTAAACTGTAAAGCATAGCATAGGCTCCCTGTACAATGTTTTTAATTTACCTTGTGTTTTCAAAGGCATGCTCTTAATTGATCAATAAAATACTAATAATTATATGTTTAGATAGAATAAAAATTTAAAGTATTGTTTTAAAACGCATTACTTTTTCAGGATGTTGTTGTTTACTGTGCAGAAAGTCCAGACTTCGACATTAACGTTCGTGATAATGCAGGCTACACACCACTGCATGAGGCTTGCAACAGAGGCCATTTGGATATTGCACAGGTGACCATCTTGGCATAATGATTAATGATATTTTTCTGTATACTGCAGTTGCATTAGTCACAAATAAACCAACTTGGTTCATTTATTTGTGTCTGTTGCCTTAGATAATAATTTATAATCACAGAATTAACTGTAACTCATTTGCTGTAAACTGAGACTCAAATACAGTACTCAATAAATTTGTTTTCCAAGTTTCCTGTCATCATAAAATTCAGTATCCCTGGTATACAGTACTGAAATTTAAACAACAAATTATAAGTTTTCAGTGTCACTTAACTGCAGAACTGATTATTGTAAATTGAAAGCAGAACTTGGTCTATCCCTCTCATGTGGTTTTATTTAACAACTCTGTGAATTTTCCTGGAAATATATTTTATTAAAACCAAGTGTTAAAACCCTTTACACATTATTAAATACAATACAAAAATTTGTAGGTGCTGTGCGCGCACGGTGCTCATGTCAATGCTCCGGGCTACAAAGGAATGAGGCCACTTCATGAAGCTGTTGAAAATGGGCATGGAGAACTTGCCCGCCTCCTGCTTGCATATGGGGCTGACCCTGCACTCACCACTTATGCTGGCCAGAATTGCCTTGCTCTTTCTGCTGATGCCCAGACAACAAAATTCATTGAAGGTTACCTGGCTGACCTGAAGGGTCGGACTGGTGAGATGTGGCACTTCAGTGGCCCTTCCAGGTTCCTTGGTAAGTCTCATTATGAAGCTAAATGGTTAATGTAACTATAATATGTTACAATTTCCAGGTGGAAATTCTTCTAAAATTGCCCCCTCTCAATATTAATGTTTTCATCATACAGTACAGTATCTTTACCATAATATGACCATATTGTAACAAACGCCATTATTGTAAAACATATTGTGGCATCAAAACTTAGTAGTGTATATGAGAGTAAGGATAATTTAATTGTTAGGAAATGTTTTTTTTTCATTACCTAATATTTGTTCTTTTTCAGATCTTGATGAGCAAGGCTGTGATTTATTTAGCAATATACCAGAAAGCAGAACTGTTCCATTGTGTCAGCAATTAAAATGTCTAGATGACACACACAGACAAAAATTAGAATCACAAAAGTTTGACACTTGTATGAAAGTACCAGACCAAGATATGGCACAGAAAGTCAGTGAATCAAACTTACAAAGAAATTTTGAAAATATCTCCACTAGTGAGGAAAAGAATTTCGTGAAACCAGAAAATGGTATATCCATAGTTCCAGTGAATGAACTCCAATACTCAGTTAAGGAAGAAGAAACTGTTAAAGAGATTAAAAAAGAGAATGACACAGAGTTGCCTAAAGAAGAAATAGAAACGAAACCGACGAGCGAGATGGAGACCACGAAGGACAGTGAAAACACAGTAGATTTATACAACGATAGTTCAGGGTGTGAAGACGATTGGGAATTAAATGAAGTGACTTTTGAGACAAGTGAATTACCTCTATTGGATGTGTTTGAGGTTGATGGTTGGCCTCATAAATACTACCTTATGCTAGAACTCTTGACCCTCCTCAGAATGACTCAAGCAGAGCTTATCATTTCTGCAAGAACTATTGAAACATTAAAATTGAGCGTGGAGGAGTTTGAGAGTCGTGCCCACAGCTGCATAGTGGGGTCATGCAGCCGTGCTCTTGTTGATACCTGCTCTTTTGTGGTGTTAGTACGAGTCACCCCAACAGTGGAGAAACTTTTAGGTATTGAAAGTGTAAGACTTTAAGAGAGTTTGTGTGCTGTATCTATAGTAGTCAGAATGAAATATTATCTTGATTTTGTTATTTTTTTTTTAAGAAGAGCACTGTGGAAAAATAATGGTCAATATTATTGATCATGCTGTAGTGAAGGAGTCCAGATTTTTTAAACAAGCTGTTGATATTGTAAATCAACAAGTTTTAGCCAATTTTTTATGAATACCTTCACTTCCTACTACTACAATGATGTGATTTTATAACTATGATAGTATGAATATACCATGTACCATACACAGTATATGAGTTACTGAGCAACATTAGTACGTGCAGAGATAACTTGCTCTGTGATAAGGTTTATCAAAGATATACATAAACTGTGATAAGTCTTGTGTAAAGCCCAAAAGGTGATATGCAGACAGCTACAGGAAATCTTCCAATTACAAGGATTTTTGAACCAAGAACTGTTGCAGTGGGCCTAAGAAATACACTTGAATATAATGACGGGTTTTTCCATTTTACAATAATCAGTGGTAGCTGGAAACTACTTTTACTATTGTAAGTGTGTACTGATTTTAGTTACTCTTGTGATGACATTGTAAAAGTTTCACCTAGAAGAAGGTAAACAATTTTACACAAGAATTTTTTTATCTGACAAAACTTTAAATTAGTAGTGTATATATGGTTCAAGGAAGATTTTAAAATGGGAATTTGTGTGCAATGAATTGTTGCAATTGATTCTAGTGTTATCACTTAACATTCATAGTATCTCAAAGTTATTATATTTGAGATTACTCTGTACAAATGATGCTTATGATGATAGTATTGTACATAATGATGAAGTTGGATGTTAGCTCTCCTCAGCTGTCAGTAGCAGAAACTGTGACCAGATTACTGTTAATTAATGTTTGACTGATGGATTACTGCTGCTGCTGCTGTTGCATCACTACAGGTAAACTATCCTGCTTATTTTGTGTGTATGTGTGTGTGCGTGTGTGTCTGTGTGCATCTTTGTAAATGAAGTCTTGTGCAATTAACTTAAATATATTTTCTATGTAATGTATTGCCATGTAAATATATATTCAGAGGTATACTATCTTGAATTTATTTCTACTCAGTACCTTTGTGATGTCCCTGCTTAAGAGCATGCGGTTAAAGATAAGATAGGAAAAGACTAGCTCTTAAATGACAAACTCTTGTCACTTTGCATTCTATGACAAAATTATTAAGAGAGGCTTAATATACAGTGTATATAAAAGGGGGAATTACCAGAAGAAAGAGGTTCATCAAATATATTTTGTCAATATATTTACAAATCAGTTCTGCACAGGAGCTTCAGAGGCACAAATGTATGAGCTGGCTATATTGGCATGGACACATTGTGAATTTTGCCCATAGTGGGTTCACTAAAAAATTTTTTTTACAAAATTACAGCAGGTAGGTTTAGCGAAGGCTTTAATTATTTTATAAAATTTACCTTATCACATGTAAGTGCTTAGGTATGTACCATAATTAAATAAATATTATTTCATACTGTGTCTGCAACATAGTAGACTACAGTCTGGGATCTTTATTTAAAGTTTAATCCTTTACTAAGCCCCTTGGATTTTGGGAACTGAGGAGTGAGAACAAGACCCACCAGCTACCTAGCTAGTACAGTAACAGTTACAGGAGTCACTGCTTCCCTGACCTGGTGTCAGACCAGTCTTATTGGTTGACATTCTGGTTAGTGAGGTTGTTGGTGTTGGCAATACATTGTCTGAGATAGCTATTACAGCCAAGATGATCAAAAATATGTTGTAGAATTACATAGTTGTGCAGAGAATATCACAATAATGTGGCTAAAAATAAATTACCTAAACAATGCGGTTAAATTAATGCACATATGAAAAGAACAAAGTGTCGTCGTGTCAGCTTGTTCTTTTCAGTTGACTTGATAAGGATTCAGGATGAGCCAAAATGTCGTCACTTTCCTTTCTTGTCGTGTGTGTGTGGTTTGGGTTATCTATATCAAGTTGTATCTTGAAGGCAGATGGCAACTTTCCTTATATTTGATGGGGAAGATGCCTGGGAGCCTCTGGAACATATGGAGATAACTTGATGAACCCTTAAGAGCCCAAGGCTTCTTGGTATTTTCACTTGAATATGCCAAAATGGGAGTTAACAAAACACCCATGTTTGTTTCCCTTTTAAAACTTGTTGGATTTAGATGAGTTTATCATGCAGATATGATTACATGTTGTAGGATGTAATACTCTAAGGTATATGAGATGCTAAGCAATTTTCTAAATTTCAGGAACATAGCCATAACCTAACATAGGGAAATTTTAAAATAAAATGATCTTGAGTTTATAAACAACAAAATAACGTTGGTTGGTTCATTGGTTAAACGAGGAAACCACAAGTTGGAGGAAGGATGCTGATAGAAATACCATCACACTCTTAGTTACTATGTAGTTTATTGTTTCATATCATAAAAGATGGTGATATGTACATAATGCTGCTTTCAACCAGGATTCTGTGCATTGTGTTCTTCTGATAAAACATTTTCTACCTTTCATTACTTGTTTTGGGATCATCATATTTCTGTTTCATTTCTTCCTTCCAGTGACTGGGAAGGGATATGTTGCGATAAAGATAAAAAAACAAATTAAAAACAAAAGAAAGTTCTTGCTTGCATGACATAAATTATCTTTAAATACAAAAAATATTTAGTGTTCACCAAAATTAAAATAAACTATGTAGTAAGAGTTCAAATAAATGAAAATACTCCATCCACCTTTCCCCCCCCCCCTCTCTCCCTCCATTAAAAAAAAATTGTTTTGCATGTAGTAACACAAGTTGAGACATGTTTGGTTTTCCAAGAGCACATATTGCTTGAGCCACACTAGACCTATAGGCTAATATTGTAATAAATAATTTTTTACACAGAAGATATAAGGAAAAAACTGAGATAGGACATCATACAGAGTTTAAATAACAAAATAGGGAAAGTAGCACTCTCACCCTATCTAAACAGGTAAACGTGTGTAAACAAGAGACATGGAAATTACTGTTGAATATAATATATTCTTCAAGTTATACACAGGGTATCACATATTTTATATGTAAACATGTGTTCTGCCTTCCAGTGCAGAACAGTGCAGTGTTATAGGTGCACAAATTAGTATTTACCAATGGTGTTAGGAACATTTTCACTGGATTTACAGGAGGGGCAAATGGGGAGGGATAAACTGACAAGTCTTTTAGAAACTATTCCTCAGTCATGAATTAAATTTCTTTGAGAACTTTCTTACCAACAATTTAAGTACAGTGCAATGGGGGAAACCAATGTGTACAAAGATGACCAATCACGCATCATAAAATGAAGAAACGACGACGTTTTGGTTCATCTTGGACCATTATCAAGTCATGTCTTGATAATGGTCCAATATGGACTGAAATATTGTCGTTTCTTAATTTTCTGATGTGTGGTTTGGTCATTGTATCTTCAGCCATGTTATTATGACTTCATCGACTGCAATGTCAGGGGGGCCTGACGGCTGAGTGGACAACGCTCGGGATTCATGATCCTAAAGTTCTGGGTTCGATCCCCGGCGGAGGCGGAAACAAATGGGCAGAGTTTCCTTCACCCTGATGCACCTGTTCACCTAGTAGTAAACAGGTACCTAGGAGTTAGACACAGGCTGCTTCCTGGGGGTGTGTAACAAAAAGGAGGCCTGGTCGAGGACCAGGCCGCAGGGACGCTAAGCCCCAAAATCATCTCAAGATAACCTCAAGATAATATGTACAGAGAGATACAAAATATCAAAAACAGCTAAAAAATAAAACACAAGTGATGAAAAAAAATGGGTAAACAAAAATCAAATTGAGGAATAGAAAATGATGATGCAACAAGCGAAATGGTAGAAATATAAAACCAGTTAGATGAAAACTTGGAAACAACTTGACCAAATGGAGGCCCTGAAAGGAATGAAAACTAACAAAATGTCACAGAATGCTCAGGAAGGCTTTTTATGGCTGCAAATATAGTGAATCACTGGAAATAAGGGTCAGTTTTGTGAGCATTGCTGTATTTGGTTTCCAATACAACACACTTGCCATTAAATAAACAGTGAAGGACTTATATTGAAAATACAGTACTGCACTCAATGTTCAGTACAATGATGGGGGCTGCTATTCAGTTTTTTATAACTGCCCCCTCTCAAAACATGGGTCAAAAGACTACACCGAGTTTAGATACAGCTGCAGATCATCAGTAACTGTTTGGAGGTGCTACGTGTACCGACAGTTTACATGCCTCTCCTATTTATTAAGTCATACTCTTCCCTGTAAATATTTATAAAGCACCCAAGATTTATTTTACTATATTTATGTCTAGCAAAGAAGCCAGGCTTTTGAATTTATTGCCATTTTGCTTCTGCAGGGGAAAAGAGAGTCTAACTGCCACTTCGATTATGAATTCAGGTGGTCGTTTTGTTCGTTTGCAGCTTTCTTCTATTCTGGTGAAGAATGGGACAGCAGGCTTTCGGAGGAGTTCATTGGTTGTGGATGCTTGGTTGGTTTGGCTGGAGGTGTGTCACGTGTTGTGTCCAGTGGCGGCTTTACGCTGCTACCTGTGGGCCACTGGTTCTGTGACGGTGGACGCTCTTTGTCTGGGTGGATCAGGTTTACTTGGTTCCCTGTTCCAGGGTTTGTGTGTCTCAGGTTGTTTGCAGTGTTATCAAGTCTAGCCAGCCTGCAGTCTACCCTCGTGCCCATGATGTTTGGAAGTATGCTGCTCTCGCAGCGGTTTGGGCAACATGTCTTTGGTCGACATTTGGGTGCAGAGGTTTTGGAGGTCAAACAGGGTCCTGGCCACCAGGTATCTCATGAACGTTCCGGTTCACTCCCAGCCGTGCGTGGCTTTGGGGCACCTGTTGTGGTCGCCTGTTTCTTCCTTGTCTTGAGATCTGCAGTGCTGCCACCTCCCAAGTAAGTCCCTCCTTTGACTTATTTTTGGGTATTTAACTTCAGGAAGCTGATGGGGCTGTCCACAGAAAACTAGTGTTGAATGCAGTGAAACTCCATTTTCTGGGTGCCCCAGGGGGGGGGGGAGGGGTAGTGCTAACAAGGAAGAGTGCTAGTTGCTTTAATTGCATAAACTGTTGCTTGTTGGGTTTCTTTCTAGGGGAAGTTATTTTGATCTTTTACGGCATAGATTGCACAGGCTAACCAGACAGTGGTCTATTTTGATTCGCCTATCTTTCTGGGTCCTTCCCCGGACCCAAAATTATGACGTACATTAAATGTAAAGTGCTCATAGGCCATTGCTCCCTGCACCCCTCTAAGGCTCTAAGGAGACCAGGTTCTGGCTCGTGGTCCTTGGTAGGCATAAGAACTCCTGTGACTGATGAACCCAAACTAATATAGCACATATCAGTTCGGATACCTTCAGGGAGCCTCTGGGGCTCACCCAGAAAATGGCGTTTCATTACATTCAACGCTGTTTTTTAATTATTTAATTCATATTGTGAGCATCAGGTATTATCTGGCTAATTTGTTTTTAGGAAAAATATTCCGTGAGTTTTGGTTATGGCTGGCAATGGGTGGAGAGTTGCCAGAAAGCGCCTGATTTTCCCAGTGTGTGTTGCCAGGTTTTGCCAGTTGATTCATGTGATTATTTCATTCATAAATGTGCTGGTATTATTTTGCTACTGTGTTTAAATTTCCTAGTGTCCAATTTTCTAACTGCTTACCTACTGAACTGAACAGTGTGTGCACAGATAATATAATTAATTTATATACAGTATTCTGCTATGGGAGACAGGAATTATATACTCCTTAATGAATTAAAAAATTGTCCATCCTATACCTTATTCAAAAGTAAAACCAAAAAGTACCTAATTTCATCTTCAGTTTTCTACCGTGTGCTTCAAACTCACACTGTATCATGTGATATCCACTTCCCCAATATTAGTACTTAAGATATGCAACTTCGCCAGTGTAATAATTTTTATCAATATATATTGCAGTTATTATGTTGAACTCAAATTTTGATACAATGTACTTATTAATAAACTTACCTTATCTGTTAGATTAAGGACCTGCCCAAAA